CCCAGTCCACAGCTCCCTCCGGCCACGGCTCCCCCTGGCCCCCGACGCCCAGTCCACGGCTCCCTCCGGCCACGGCTCCCCCCCGGCCACGGCTCCCCCCGGCCCCGGGACCCCTGCTCCTCACATCCTCAGGACAATTTTGGAGAGGAAGCCAGGAGCAGGTCCGATGGCAGGCGCCACCTGCACCCAGCACCCTGCCATTCTGGGAGAGCATGGAGGTGCAGGGAGAGGCCACGAGAGCCACAGTGTTCTGGCCAGAGGCCTTCAGCTGGGATTCGGAGAGCCATGGGCTGAACAGACACAGGGGTGGTGGCAGAGGCAGTGGGTGTGTTTTGCTGTCTTTAGGTTGCAGGGTTCTGAAGCGAATCCTTAGGCTAGCCTCAGATCTGGAGGGAGGAACTTTCTGGAGTGGAATGGGCCTTGGTGTCCACGTTCCCTGGAAGCAGACGCTTGGGCCCTCGCCTGGGATGGAGGATCATCAGGAATCAATTCTGTATCGGGGAGAGTTTTTTCCTTTGATTCCTGGCATAATCTCTCTTCTGCTACATCTTCAGTTTTTCAATATTTCAACCCTCTTGTTTAAACCTCTTTCCCCATCTGAAAACACAGCTGCCCTCATGTTGAAAACCAAAGACAGCGGTTACAATGCCCCCTTCATATCCACTCTCACACCCACCTCTTGTTCATATCCAGCGCTGTTAAATAACCCAGCACTTGTTTATGTAGTACAATGTGAATTACTAATTAATTTTTCTTAATTTGAGAAAACCAAGGTCAGCAAAAACAGAAAAGCAAGTCATCTCCAAATCCAGACTTCCTGTTTCCTCACTCTGAAGTGAGCTGCACACACCACTTGGCTTCTGCTGACGGTTCTGGGGACCCGGTGGGCTGTGTCTGGGCCCTGCCTCTCCTGCACCACATGTGCCTCGAAGTTCAGCTCACACTTGATCCCACCAGGCAGACGTGGCTGCCTACGGGGTCTTCCCGGACTTGTCAACCTCCTGAGGCCCACTACGGCCCTCAGGAAGAAGCAGGAGTGGGTAATTCTAACTGAAAAACACACTGTGATGCGAGACAGGCTGGCGTGTCCCAGCTCCTGTCCTCAGCCCCCAGCCCCAAACGCCAAGCTTGATTTCCAACCAAAATCCTAGAAAGAGGGTTGGCAAGCTTTGGCAAAGAGCCAGAGAGTAAATATCAGGTTGTTGTGGGCTGGGTGGTTTCTGTTGCTTTCCTTCGGACTAGCGGGGAGGCTACTCCAGGCAACATGTGAGTGAGTGTGGGTGTGTTTCAATAAAACTTTATGAATGGACACTGAAATGTGAGTTTCATGTAATTGTCACATGTCAGGGAATAGCAGTGTTCTTTGGATTTTTTGTTTTTTAACATTTTTAAAATGTGAGAAACTGTCTCAGTTCAGGGTCTGTGTGAAAACAGGCCAGAATTGTCCCAGAGGCCAAAATTTGCCCAGCCCTGTCCTGGAACATAAATCCCAGGGAGTGCCAGGAATCTGCAGGGCTTGTGAAGGGTTCTGTGACTCGTTTGTAAGAAGTCATGCGGAAGTCACTTGTTGGGCTTCTCAGCCTCCTGGGGTGGATCATCATCCAGAAGGAGGGAGCCTGTAGCACCAAGGAAGAGCTGGGCTCCCCTAGGCCCGCCCGCCTCCCTGGCAGGCACACTGCTGCTTTCTCGCCAAATCTTGCAACTGACCGGCATTCTCTGCATGTCTGCCCATATTTCCCATGTGGGTGTGATGCTGACAGCTCTGTCAACTCCCTCAGACAGCGGATCACGAGCTTGCCTGACTGCACCAGTAAAAATCCCCAAAGCCTGGCCAGACCCACCCATTGAGAGATTGGAGTCTGCACTCTCAATGAGAATTTCCTTCCTGTTTCCAGCACTACCTCGTGGAGGACGATGAGAAACACAGACGACAGCTTGGGAGCAGGGTTCTGCCACATAACAGACACTGCAGAGAGCCTCTGTAATTTCTTTAATTATTCAAACAATAGAGCACAAAGATAACAGTTTCAAGTACATTCTGATACACGTTTTGACAGGAATAGATATGCATTTAGTCATGAGGGAGGCTGGCAGCAACCACCATGCGCACATTTTGCACCAACTCTTGGCTCATCAACCCTGAATGAGAAGTTGGCACCGAGTCCTGGCGGGGCTGGGCCCTGTACCTAGTTTCTCTAAGCAGCGGTTTCCTTTCCTTGCCTGCGAAAAAGAGAATTTTAAATATAAAGCAGTGGATGGGTCTTAAGAAGATGGACCAGGAGGGCTGGGAACAGCACCCAGCCGCTCGGAGACTCTGCCACCGGGCCTGTCAGGATGGAGTGCCACCCAGAAGTCTGGATTTCCCATCTGGGTGAAGCTCTGCTCCAAGGTGCCCTGGTCACCAGCAGAGCTGTGCCATGGCCTGAGCACCTTGGGGCTTGGTCAACGCCCGAGTTCCCTCTGTCCGATGGTGCTGCTTGGCCAAGTAGGCAGGTCTGTCAACACAGCCAGAAGCTGCTGCGCCCAGTGCTTCTGGCTCACTTTGGACTGACTTGGAATCAGACTGAACTGTCAAAAGAATGGACACACTCCCCCCACCCCCTGAGAGACTGTAAACACCAGCCTGGAACCTGCTGACCACCTAGGAGACCAAAGAAAAGTCTTTTACGGAAAAAGGCTGAGGACTGCTCCTACGCAGAAGGCCTGGCCCTGGGGAGGCTGGCAGAGGCCCTGAGCCATCCACCTGGGCATGCAGCCTTTTGGGAAGGCCACTCAAGGCCAGACCCTCTGCAGAGCAGCTCCTCAGGGATGGGGCCCAGCCTTGGGAACCAGCCCCTGCCAGGTGGGGCTGGTCTGTTCACCCCTGCCCGCCTAAACCTGGACCACCTTCCCCACAGGCTCCATCTGTTAGAGGCCCCTGACTCACGCAGCTCCACCCTTCCAAAGCCCAGCCTGCTCAGATACTTCGGCCCAAAGCACAAAGCATGACAGACACCTTCAGTAAGCCAAAGAACTGGCAGGAGTCCCCCACTGAGGACCTGGACAACAGCCAAGGGCAGAGACCCTCTCAGCCAAACCTCCAAGGTGGCAGGAAGCATGGAAGGACCTTCCCCAACCCAGCGCCCACAGCAGCATGCCCACTCAAAAGGGCTCAAAGCTTACGCCTGACCTCGTCCGACAGACAACCAGCATAGCTGAGGGCCTCAGCAGCAGCCCCACCATTCTAGCCACTGGCCCACACCACTGTGGGCTTGCCACTCGGATTTAAGGGGACCCTCAAGAAAAGAGGACAGGTGCTTCAGAGATCAAATCTGGTCCTCAATTCTAGGGACTCTTTCTGGAAAGGGCACAACAGGACCTCAGAAAGCAACAATGAGCCTCCTCTCTACAGATCCGAGACGGCACCAACAGGGTCAGTCCAGGGCTCTGCCCAGCAACCACATGCAGGAGCCCCAGGAGCAGGTCCTCTGGGCTTACACATTGGGCTTTGCTAGTTAAGGGGTGGGGTGAGGGGGACAGCAGTCCCCACGGATGGCACCCCTAACCTTTGGGAGTGTAGGAAGAGCTTCACACAACAAATACAAGCAGAGCTGAGGTTTCTCCAGCCATGAGAAGAAACAAGTTGATTTGTGTGCCTACTTTGGTTACCTAAGACAGCCAGTCTGAATTCACAGTATAAGCAACACACCTAAATAGAACATTGGGAGCGCCAGTCAGCGCTAGGTTTCCCAAACAAAGAAGCCAAAAAAGAAAAGAAAAAGGGCTGCAACAGGAGTTCTTAATTATTAGATACTAAGCGGTCTGTGCATGGCACATTTTATTTCTATAAAACTATTACAAAATATTCAAAAATACATTTTAGTAAATTTACAGCAGTTATTTCTCAATTTATTAATGCAAAAACATCCTTTGTTTTTCTCTGTACAAACTGCAGGCTCCATCCTCGTGGGCTCAACACTATGTGCGCTTTTAAAAAATATTATTTTCTAATAAATTCTTTGAAGTTAAAAATAACAGAGTTCTTCCAGTTTGTCCAAAAAAAAAGTGTGTGTGTATGTTGTGTGTGTAACAGTCTTGGCTTCCAAGAATGTGGCAAAATGGTGAATACAAAGGGGATATGAAACCATAGAGACAACAGAGGAGGTGGCTGTTACATCGGAAGCTAGTTAAATTAAAATAATATATTTTCATATTTTACACTATTTCAAAAATGAAATGTCATTCAGTTAAGTATTGATCTCTCAAAAAATCTAATTTACAATTCTGTGTATAAAAATATAATTTGTGGACCCCCATGAAGCACGTTTGAGTTTGCACTTGCTGAAAGCAGATGGAAGGAGGGATGGCGAGGACGGAAGTTAGCTTTCTGACGGCCGGGGCGAGGGACGTGTAGAAAAATAGACTCTGAGCAGGTTGCTTGGCCTCACAAAATAATCTCTCCCCCTGTGAGTACAGTTCACATGACAATAATAAATTATCCAAGAAACAAACTATTTAAGGCTCTTGAAGGTCCGGTTCATATTATTTAAAACATCTATTCATACCAAACAAATAAATAGCCAGGAGAGGAGGAAAAAATAACCAAAATAAAACAATAACCAAAAATTTAAAAAATATATAAACTAAACACAACAACAAAACTTCCCGGGGTCCTTGTTTCCTTAGCGTCTACTTTGGACTGTCCTACTTTATTATTATTATAACTCAGTCTGGTTCGTGCGCCTTTTCCGAGTGTCTTTTTGCTTTGCGTTGCTGTTGCTGTTGCTGCCCCGCCCCGCCCCCTCCCGCGCCCCTCCCCGGGCCCCGGGCTTCAGCTGGATTTGGCCGCCATGCCCAGGGGGTGCAGGGCCTCGCTGTCCAGGAGCCACGTGCCTATTTGGTAGAGCAGCTGCGAGTACCAGTGGATGCCCGCGGTGGCCCCCGCGCCCGGATCGTCGGCCGCACCTGGCGCGGGCTGGGGAACTCGGCCGCCGCCCCCGCCGTCCCCGCCGTCCCCGCCGCCGCCGTCTCCGCCGCGGTCCGTGCGCTCGGGCGCCAGGGCAGCCAGGAGCGCGTGCGCCAGGCGGAAGGGCGCGAAGGCCCGGTGCGCCCAGCCGTGCTCCTCGATGACCGCGTAGCACGAGGCCAGCACCCGGTTGATGAGGATGGTGCCCTGGGCCGTGAGCGGCGCGTAGGCGCCAGCGGCCTCCTCGCGCAGCGTCACGCTGTGCACGGCGGCGGGCAGGAGCTGGCGGTCCCCATCGCGCTCGGCCACCACGTACACGCGCTGGCCCGGGCGCACGCGGCTGGCAAACAGCGCCCGGCGCCCCGGCGCGTCCCCGGGAGGTGGCCCCGCGCCTGAGGACGACTCGGGCTCCCAGGTGGCCGAGTCATTGTGAGGCGCCACGAAGAGCAGGTGCGCGGCGGTGAGCAGCAGGCGCTCGCGCGGCTCCCGCGTCTCGATCACGTAGAAGACCTTCTTGGCGCCGTCGTCGCGGTCCAGGAAAGTGAGGAAGTCGCTGTAGAGCAGCCGGCCCTGGTCGTCCGCCGCCAGCACGCGGTCCCCGGGGCGGAGGTCCTTCACCAGCTTGGTGCCGCCCTGCTCCAGGTGCACCGTGGCCGAGCCCGGGAAGCAGCCCCCCGATTTGGCCGCCACCGAGTTCTCTGCGGGCGAGGAGAAGGGAGAGAAGAGAGAACAGGGCGTTGAGTTCCGAAAGGGAGGCACGTCTCGGGGAGGAGGGCGCACACTGGGTGCCCGCGCGCCTAGGCCCGGGGTGCTCACCACGCGGGGCTGGGCGGGGCGAGGGATTCCAGGCGGGTCCCGTACAGACCTCCCTCCCCCAACCCCACCGCCCCTGGGACAGGCAGGCACATTCCTTAATGACTCTCCAAGTCTGGGCTGGCGGTGACAGAGGTGGGCTGGCGTTTCCTGCAGAGGCCGGTGACACTCCTTCCTTCCGCCTTCCTCCAACCCCACCCCCAGCTCCGCACACACCCAGCCTCGCCGTGAATCCGTCCAGAGGGTGTTTGCTCTGCACTTGGATTCCTCAGGAAGCCTCCTTGAGCTCCCGCGGGCGCCGGGCTCACCCTCCTTCCCTCCCGCCCCGGCGCGGGGCGCGGCGCCTGCTCGCGCGCTCAGCACCGGGGCTGCGCGGAGGAAACCCAGGGCCCGCCTGCCCGCACCATCCTGCGCGCCTCGGCGTGAGCCTGCGGAGGGGCGGGGGCGGGGAGTGAAAAATAGCCGCAGTAGTTGCAGCAACTGCACAAACATTCCAGAGACTGGCCGAGGTGTGAAAATCCGAGGCTTGTGTGGATTTTCTAATTAAAATCCAATAAAGAGCCCAGCACTGTCACTGTGATTTCTGGGATAAACAGGAGAAACTCTTGGAAGCGGACGCTTCCATCTTCTCCGTCCTTTTCTCAGCTCACTCTCTCCCCAGCTCGCGGGCCTCCCCCTCCCTATTTGCTCAGGTGCAAACCCCCCCGTGTGCAATTCACAAGCACTATTTGCACAGCCAGGCCTCTCTTCCAAACACTCAAGATGTGTATTTGAATTTTAAATGGCGGGGCCTGTTCGGAGCTCTGGAAGCGCCGGGTCTCAAGGCCCCTTGACTACCCGCTTTCTCGAGCCCTCTGTCGCTCTCTGAGGCTCACGGTCCCGAGGACAATAATTGAAGTTGGGGCGGAGCGCAGGGGGCCGGGGAGGAGGGCGGGGAGGGCCGTCTTCTTTGCATTCCAATCTCCGGGATCAAGCTTTTTGCAAATAGAGATTGCCAGAAAGAATCTTCCTGCTGGAATTACAGGGGGTTTTTAATCTTCTCATCGGTTTCTCCGGCATGAAGTGCGGGGCTGGCCGTGGGAGGCCCTCCGTAGCCCCCAGGAATGCGACCCCGGACGCTGGCCAGCCCGAGTCGTCGAGTCGCACGGCCCTGCTTGACACGCCGCGCCCCGCGCCCCCGCCCGTGTGCGCCGAATCCCAATGAGCGGCTCGGGCGCGCCGCTCTGCGCTCCCGGCGGGCGCGGCCCGGGGGCTGGATTAGCGCTGCTCACTTGGGAGGAGGCCTCCGGGGACCCCCGCTAGGGGGACCCGGCGGGCAGGAGCCCCGGAGGAGGTTTCGGGAGGGCGCGCCGGGGACCCGGGGGCCGCCGTCTCCTGCCTCCCTGCAGCCGGGAGCTCTCCGGGCCGCACACCCTACCCCGCCGCCCCCGCCGCCCCGCTCCACACCTTTGCTTTCCGCGGGGACAAGAAGCCACTCTTGCCTTTACCTACAAGTGCGCCTCGAAACCTTAAAAGTGTTTTCCTACTGACAGAGGCCATTAAAATGGAATTAGGAGACAAGTAGGGAAACCTGGAAAGGGGGGTGAGGAAGGTAGAGTTCCCCCGAAATTCACCGCGAACGGCTTTGCTAAACGTGCCAATTTATCCAGGCGGAGGAGCAAGCGGTGCACACAGCCCCAGGCCGCAGGTTCGCGTGCGCGCAGTGGCGCCTCCTCCGCGGCTGTTCCTCGCCGGCAACAGCGTGTGGCGTTGCAGGCCCAGGGAAGGCAGCCACGCGCCGACTCGGCCCGGCTTTCCGGGGCCTGCCCGCCGCCCAGGGCGTCCCAGCCTGGCTCCCAGGAAGAGCGCAGGCTCCAGGCGCGCGGCCTCCAGACGCAGGAGGTGGTAACCTCTGGGTTTACTGCGACCCACCAGACCTCTCCCAAAAGGCTCAGCGAGTGAGCGAAGGCAGCTTAGGATCCACTGGCGCCCAGCAGGGAGCAGCCAGGACGCGGGCTCCGGGCCAAAACAGGCCCCCCTGCACTTAGGATAGCAGGTGGGAGCGGTTGGTTCTTAAGCCCTAAAGTAGGGGAAGGATCTCGCGCAGACCTGGCTAACCGCGCAGGGCGAGGGCCAGGAAGGGCCTAGCGCCCCTCCCCCAGTCGCGCTCCCACCCCCTGCAGGGGGGCTCCAGAAGTGGGCAGGAAGCCACCGGCCCCCACCTCGGGGCACGGAGAACCCTGGCCTCTGGCCTCCAAGGTAGGGGTGATTTCGAGGGGCTGGCACCTCGCAGGGCAGGTTCCCACCGCGGAAACGCCGTCACTGCCCAGCGTCCCCGCTTCTGGCCCTCAGCCTCCCCCCAGGTTCTTTTTCCCTGGAATCAGGCCGGGGGTCAGCCAATGGCCCTCAGTGGGGCGGATCGGGGTGGGGGGCGGGGTGGAGAAGGCTGGGCCTGGGGCCGGCTTACCTGCTTTCACCGAGCAGTGGATGTGCGCCTTGGACTCGTAGTACACCCAGTCGAAGCCGGCCTCCACCGCCAGGCGGGCCAGCATGCCGTACTTGCTGCGGTCGCGGTCGGACGTGGTAATGTCCACTGCGCGGCCCTCGTAGTGCAGAGACTCCTCTGAGTGGTGGCCATCCTCGTCCCAGCCCTCGGTCACCCGCAGTTTCACTCCTGGCCACTGGTTCATCACCGAGATGGCCAAGGCGTTCAACTTGTCCTTACACCTCTGCGAAGACAAGGGGACCCCCACCGACGGACACCTTAGCCTGGGCGGCCGCCACCCCACCCGGCCCCTCCGTCAGCCTGCCCTGCCCGGTCTCAAGGCGCGAGGGCCATGCGGAGAGGTGAGGAGACAGGCTTGGAACGGCCCAGCCACGCAGAAGAGCCGGCACTAGGCTGGGGAAGAGGGGCAGCATTTGCGGAGGAGCGCGGAGGAGCAGCCCTCTCAGGGCAGAGCTGGGGGCGTTTCTCCAGATCCTTAAACAGCTGGTGCTCCTAGCGGGGTCTGAGAAGCAAATAAAGAAGTTTCTCGGAAACAAGTGGCCTGCATGTTTCAGACGCCAACTCCAGAGCGTCGGGGGCGCCCTCTACGATGCCGCCCCGCCGCCTCCAAGTTGCCCTCCACTTCCAGCCCCCTCCCGGGGCCCTTTCTCCACCTGCACCGCCTCCACCTCCTCCCTGTGAAGAATCCCCCACAGCAGGCCCGACGCAGACCTGAGTGCTCGTTCCCAGAAATAAAGAACAATGCACTGTGCACTTGCAGAACTGAAGGTGTTGCATTTATTTACCTGCGGCCCTAACCCTATCCGAGGCAGAGGGGAGGCCAGAAGCCGCTGGCGGGGCTGCGGGGTGGGCGGGAGCCCAGGTGGATGGCGGCCAGGTGAATGCCCGCTTGCAGCGCAGGCCAGGCCCAGACCGGACTTTCTCTATCTGGACAGCCACATTCTTTTTGCGCGTCCAATACTTTTCTGCTTGGCTTTTCTGTGGTCTGATTGTGTTTCTTGTTTTCTTTCACCTGTTCCCTTCCTCCCCTCTTATTTTCTTGGCCCCACCATAGAATGGTGTCCAGCAAGTTTGAAGAGCAAACTGAGGAGGTGAAGGGAGGGGGAGGGGTGGGAGAAGAGGGGGAGGAGAGCCAGGAGGCCTGAGGCCTCTAGTCCTCCGTCGGCGGAGGCTCCCCGGAAGCTGCCCGGTAGGAGGCAGGGCGCTCTGACTGGGCAGACGCAGATGGGGTTACCTGGGACTCAGACTGTGGGGGTTCCCCCGTAATTCTTGGGTCACTTTCAGATAAGGATGCGATAGAAAGCCTCTGAATCAACTGCGTGTGTGTTTGTGGGGCACTGACTGGCTTCCGGGATGTTTATGCTGCTGCTGGTGGGACACGGGCTTTAAAAGGGGGAACGTGCACGGATGACGATCCTGGCGTCCCCTGAGAAGCTGCACCAAGTGGGGGCCGAGGCGCAATTTCAAGGTGACTTCTGCAGGGGCGGGGCTGACCTCTAGCCTCCCAGTCTGGAAGGATGCTGTGCTTGGAGTCTGGTTGTCAGGGTGGAAGGACAGTCTCTACCTGGGGTCCTCACCGTAGCTGGGTCGGGGGAACCTTTCGAGGGAGTGGGGCGAGGACGCTGGCCCGACTGCTGCGGCGCTTCCAGGGGACGTGACAAATTGCGCAACAGGAAAAGCCCTGTGTATCTGGCAGCAATAAAAACCAGTAATATGGTTGTAGAGTTAAACATACAGCAACTGGGGGTGGGGCAGGGCTGGGGGCCGCCCTGGTAGCAGGTCAGTGCCTGCAGGTTTCTGGGCCTGCCAGCATTTAAAAAAAAAAGTCGGAAGGGCAGAGTTTGAGTGAGGTCATCTTGAGGATTGAACGCGTTTTACATGAAAATCAATCAGTAAACCAGGGTCAGTTTAGATCTGCGATGTGAGGCCCAGTGCGCGCAGGCGCACACCACCAACACGCACACGGACCCCCCCATGCACGCCCCCCACCCCACCGCAGCTCCCTCCCCTGGGGGGTGCGCCGAGGAAGCTTTAAACAGCTTCCCAGGAGGGTAGCCAGGGAGAGGGCGGCGGGGAGAGGAGGACCCGGCCCCAGCTCTCGGAGCTGCGCCACTTGGGCGGGCGTGGAGGACCCGGGGCTGGGAGACCCGGGCCGAGCCGGGCCGCGACGGGAGGTGGCCGTGCGGGCGAGGGGCGGAGGCCGAGGATGGCAGGAGATGGCACCCCCACCCCGCGCGCCCTCCTCGCCCCGGCTCCACGCGGCCTCTGCTGGCGGCCGCTCCTCCTCCCGCGCTGGGCGGGATTGTCGCAGGCAAAGCCGGGAAGCCCAGGCCGGTTATTAATTCATTGGGTCGTGTGCCGCGAATCAAGCCCGACTCTGTGCAGCCACCGTGAAGCCCAGCAGGGCCGCCGGGGCCGGGCTTTGTGTCGGCGGAGGCCAAGTTGTTCCCCACGCCTGAGCTCCTGCCCACCTCCCTGATCCGCGAGCCGCGCCGGCGACTGTCACCGCCCGCAGCCAGTGGGCTTTCCAGAGCGCGGGGGCTGGGGCGTCCCAACTTCGAGACGCCCCAGGCCCTAAACGCTCCTCTCTCCACTGTCCTCTCACCACGCTCGGAAGAACAGACCCCTCCTCAAACCCACACCTGAGCGCCTTTCCCGGCGGCCCCAGAGCGCACAGGAAATCTATTTAGTGTGGTGGCTCGGGCCCCCCACTCCAGGCCTCAGATCCGGCCCTCTGGCCTACTGCCCCCTCGGAGCCCCTGGCCGCCATCACCCTCTCCTGGCACCCCAGGCCCGCGCGGGGAGAGCGTGTCTGTCTGAGCTTCCCTCTCCCGGGTTAATATTAACCGGCAGCTCCTGCGTTCCAGAACTGCTCTGAAAGTTCCACTGGGGACGATCTCGCCATGCTTGAGGGACTTGGGCGGCAGTCACATTAGGGACCCAGAGACAGGGAGGGAGACAGAAGAGGAGGGCCGCGCACCTGGGGCACAGCCTAGCCGGTTATTTAAAATGAGGGCGGCCGAGCAGGCTCCCCAAACCTCCCGCGGGCCTGGGGCTCCCTGGACGCCTGCTTCACCCGGCCCCTGCCCTCAGCACCCAAGCCTCCGCCTTCCCCATCCCTTCCTCCCCCTCCCTTAACTCCTGGAGTCGGGAGAAGGAAGGTAGGGGAGGGATCAACCAGGGGGTGCCTCACAGACTGCCAGCCCCAAGCCCCTCTCGGTTTTAGGGGACCTTTGTGAGGTCTGCGATAGAATCCCGGCCTGGCTTTCCACACCCAACCCCCACTTGGGCTGTCCCTCCCCCTTCTTTTGTGTTGGGAACGGGAATAGCCACTGCCCAAGGAAAAAAGTATTTGTTTTCGTTTCGTTCGTCTGAGGGAAGTTGACAGAAGGTCAGAAGTTCAAATGCTGCCAGTGCGCGCGGCGGCGAGAGTGGCCGGGCGCGGGACCGCTGGGCCCCGCGTCCCCGGGCAGGGCGGACGAGGGTGGGGGGAAGCCCCTGGGCTGGGGGCTCTGGCTGGGACATGGAGGCCCAGAGGCCAGGCAGGCGGCGGACTGCGGAGGGGGACGCGGCCCACGGCAGGCCGACAGGGTCCGCGCTGCGCCCCGGCCCCTGCACCAGCGCCCCTGTCTCCGCGCCCCCGCCGCCCGGGTCACTTCCGCGAGCCCAGCCCTGCTGTTAGCTCCTGCAGTGCCTGCGCTCCGGCGCGTGGAGTGGCAGAGCCCGGAGGCCCCAGCCCAGCCCCGCGCCCACTGAAACTCTAGCCGCGGGGGATCGATAACCCAGGAGTAAGTGGGGCTGCAAGCGTCTGCCTCGCTGCGCGGTTCTGCGCGCTCGCAGTTTCGCAGCAGGGCTGCAAGGCCCGAACCCTGGGGAGGGCTGCGAGCCCAGGACACCCTCTGCGGCACTGGCCTCCTGCAGACCAGGGCAGAAGCTGACCCACTCTGGCTCTGGGACCTCGGGTGTCCACGCCCCCGCCGCTTTCTCCGCAGCGCCGCTCTCCTCTTGGGTTCCAGGGGACCCAGGCAAAGCTCCTCCTCGGCGGCCAGTGAGGGTGAGGAGAGGATGGGCACCCCAGGCTAGTCGGAGAACTCCCTCCAGCCAGCTGCATGCACCGGGCACCCCGTGGCCCGTGCAGAGTTAATTGTGGATCGCGCTGCTGTCTAGCAAAGGCGCGCGCGTCCACACTCGCGGTCCAGATTTAAGGTGGTCGGGAGCAGATGAGGGAGAGCAAGGAAATCAAAACCAGTTCCCATTCCTCTCCTTTTCGACAGCTGGAGCTGGCTAGTCCGCCTGCGCCTCGCCTTTCTCGGCCCCAGGCAAGCCTGGGAATCTGGTCGGGAAGCTGGGGTCCCGGAGGTAGCTCCTCTCTCGCGGCAGTCCCTACCCTCTCCCTGCACTCGCGCCCCACCAGGCCACTCCATCAGCCACTGTGCGCACTTAGCCCTAAAGGTAGGACTTGAATATTTTAATAGGGCAATAAAAAGGATGTTGACCTATATTTGCAAGGAAACCCATTTCTGGCTTCAGTTATACGTGCATGGAGTTTCAGAAAGTCTAGAATTGGCTGGGAGATTGGCAGCGCAGAAGTCTCAAGGGAGGTGGGGAGGGAGAGAAGAATTCGTATTTTGCTTAGCTTCCCCCTCCCCCCTCACTAATATTTATTCCTCTTAATTCTTATGCAAGCAGGTTGAAAACTAAAGTGATGCAGTGCCAATAAGTTCTAAGTCCCTCCCCTAAGGTACCTCGGGCTTGGGAGAGCGAGAGAGCATCCTTCAAGAAATATCAATACATTCACACTCTGATGGGCACAATTGTGGACATGCAGTCGCAAAGGCAGCTCTGCGATACCGCCAGGGACCCAGGGACGGCTGGAGTCGCCTCTGGAGCCCCTGCCTTTTGTCAGAACCGCCTCCTGGCTTTTCCAGTTGAGAATTCTTTGGTGGGGAGGTGTGGGGTGGGGGCAGTCGTGGGAAAGAAAACCACAGAGGCGACGGGAAACCTGGGGGCTCTGCACCCAAGGCTAGTTTCCTACAGGGTCTGGAGGCCACTTCATGTTCGTGGGAGGGGGATTCCCACCCTGTCCTTCTATGTCCACTCCTGACTTGGAAAGGGCCGGCACCCCCAAAGTGAAGGTCTCCCCAAGTTACAAGCCAGGGCAGAGGTAGGATGGGGAAGGCCACTGTAGCGAGACTCATCAAATCAGGGCCGTAATGGACCACATCTGTTCCTGGCCTCACCCCACCACACCCTAAACTTCTCCAGCTGGACCCTTGACCTGCATTCTCCTCCAGGAAGAGGAAGAGATGAGGGGGAGGGCAGGTGGGTGGGGAAGGAGCCGGTGAAATCACCTTCGTTTCTGCCCGAAGAGCAAACAGAGTAAGTCTGGAAGTGCTCGGCTTCTCGTAACCCCCTGGAAAGCCGCACACTCCGCGCCCGCGCTGGGGTCCTACCTGAGTCATCAGCCTGTCGGCTCCGGTGTTTTCTTCATCCTTAAATATGATGTCGGGGTTGTAATTGGGGGTGAGTTCCTTAAATCGCTCCGAGTTTCTGGAGATCTTCCCTTCATACCTTCCGCTGGCGCCTAGGGTCTTCTCGGCCACATTGGGGATAAACTGCTTGTAGGCTAATGGGGTCAGCTTTTTGGGGTGCCGCCTCTTTCCGAACCCCCTGCCGGGTCCGCACGCCAGCCCGGAGCACACCAGCAGCGAGGAGACGAGGACTAGCAGCAGACATCTCGCCAGCAGCAGCATCTCGCCCATGGAACTGATGACTTCCGAGCTGTCCCCGAGCGGGTCCGTGCGCGAGTGCGCGCGGCGGGTGTGTGCCTGTGCGCTCTCTCTTGCGCTCTCCCTTCCTCGCTCCGGCTCGCCCTCTCGCTCGCTCGCTCGCTGGCTGCCTCGCGCTTTCTCTTGCTATATAACCTTGCCCGCCGCTGCTGCGGAGGACTCTCCACCGCTCCCCACCCAGACAGGGCTTGGAATGGCAGGCTGCCGGCCGCTGATAACGGAACACATCGGAGTTGGGTCGCGAGACAGCAATCAAAAGACAAAAAGAGTCTGATTTTAAATGGTAGCAAGCCTGGAGAGCGTGTGAGAGAGGCTGCCTTTAGCGCTATATTATAGCTGCCAGGGGCGCATCTGATTGGCCAGAGCTGCACAAGCCTGTCTTCTGGTGTTAACCCTGAAGAAGACTACATTTTTTTTTTTCTGTTGCTGCTGTTGCTTTATTTTCACCTGAAGGCTTCGAGTTAAAAAAAAAAAATCTTTCCTAAGATAAAGGCGGTCTGGAGGGAGGAGTGCAGGTCTTGGGCTAACAGCAGCTCCTCCTGGCTTTGTGCACGTCCTAGTGTTTCCCCCTGACTCGCCCTGGAATGGTAGGTGCTTCAGTAAAAACCAACTTAAGTTTTTAAAGGACAGTTGAGCCCCCCCCCAAGCCTCAGTCATCAAGCACACAGTCGCTCACACATTTGAGGGCCAAGCTGCCCAGCTGTTATTTAATGTTTCTTCCCCAGAGACTCGATCCTGCAGGCTGGGTCTCCCTGCATTGTAAAGAAAGAGGAATGAGCCCCTTCCCAAAGACCAAGCATAATTATGAGTGACCGTAACTTAAAGCACTGCTATTTGAATTGCTTTCGGTGCCTTAGAAAAATGTAAAAACACTGCTCTTTCATTGTGCACCAATTAATACATCATTTTTTTAAGCTCTGCAAATGGGATGGGGGCGTGCTCAAGGGCAGGTACAGAGTGAGCTGCGGGGGTCTGGGTGGATGGGCACAGTAGGTCTGGGGCTGCACCCCGGCACAGAGGAGAGAGTGGGGGTCAGTGTGTGCACGGGGTGGGCAGAGGCCATTGGGTGGGGGCAGGCGAGTGGGCGAAGCTGTGCTCACACCACCCCCACGATCGATTAGACCAAAGTGCAGAGCCAGGGATGAGCTGAACATGGAATTCAGGCTCCTTGCAAAGCTGTCCTGTGCTCAGCAGGCCACTGGTCTTCAGGCACAGGAGCTGCCAGGTCCTAGGGGCTGCAGTCCAAGGGGCTAGGGACCCTGGGGGACAGTATTCTGGTTGACGAGGGGCTTTCTAGAAAGAGGGCACAGTGCCCAGGAGTTGGAAATCTTTGAGTCCAGAATCACCTTACTTCTTGCAGAAAAAGGAAAAAAAGTCTCAAAAAGTTCTAATTAAACCAGGAAAATAAAATTTGAAGCTCCCCCTGCTTTTTTTTTTTTTTTAAACAGATCATGCCCTTGCCCTCCTCATCCCCCATCCCACTCATGTACAGTAATTCCTCTAGCATAGGGTGAGGGAGTGAGGGTTATTCAAATGGAGGGAAATCCTGACCCAGAGGAGTCAGCAGGTGCTGGGAATGTGGCCCTGTGAAGGTGGACAGTCTCCCTGGACCCCAGACTCTCGGAGTGAAGGGGGAGAGGTCCCTGATGAAGCTCAGCCCCCAGCAACAGACGTTTCCAGAAGTTCCTTTTGTGGACCAACTGTGTGTGTGTGTGTGTGTGTGTGTGTGTGTGTGTGTGTGTGTGTGTGGTGGGGAGAGGAGAGAAGCATCTGAAGACACAACTGTCTTGGGCATAAGAGGCTGAGCATGAACAAGACTAGGTAGTCTGGGTCCCTTCGGGAAGGTCGACTCAGGCTCCCCATTCCACCTCTCATTCTTGTTCTTTCCCATGGTTTGTGAAGAACCCTGGTCTCAGAAGCAACTTATCCGCTGGCCCAGGCCCCAGCAGTCTCCACGGAGTGGAGCTGGAGCTCAGCTGAGCCCAGGGGTTCTCCAGGCCGTGTATGTCTGTGCTGCCTGCCATGTTCCCAGTAAAAACAGACACAAAACAGGATGCGTGTCCTCTCTGGAGGAGGCTGGCCTGTTTGGTATGGCTACCTGCACAGCATGTGGCTGTCACATCACTGGGTGGTGCCTGGGTTGGATCAGTGACCTGGCCCAGTGGGACACTCACAAACCTTTCGACTGCCCTGCCCCCGACTGCCCTGCCCCCACCCTGGTGTCTCCTCTAGCCTCACCCTGTCCTCCTCCCTCCGCCTTTCCTTCCCCGCTCTCACCTAGTCCCTTACAAATGCAGGTGAGTCAGACAGCCCGCAGCAGGGGCTGCTACCCTGGGGCCTGAGGGTCGGGTGTGCGGGCACACTTCCAGGAGGGCAGCGTGGGCAGAGTGTGCTTTGGAAGCAGAAGGCTGAGCTGCACAGAGTTCCACGTGGACACAGCTGGACGTGGGGCGCCCCCAGGTGCAGTCGGCTCCCTCTTGGCAGAGAGCAGGGAGACGTGGCTTGGCCTTGAACTTGGGCGACTCAGGACATTTCCTCAAACCTCCCTGCCCCAAGGGATGGCCTGAGGCCGCCTCGTTCCCCTCTGTCTCTGGACCGCCCTGCCCCTCCGGAGAGTATGTCGGGGGCCACCTCCCTTGCGGACTGGCTCATCCTCCAGACTGAGATAATGCTGGCCCAGAAAGCCTGCCCCATGCCTAAGTTCAGAGGGTCTGCCGCCTGCGTGGGTTGGGGGCAGATCGGCATAGAAAGCAATCCCGGTTAGATGCGTTGTCTTAGAACTAGGCTGCTGACTGAACCCCCAGAGAGGCTGCTGCTCTGCCCTCCCGACCCTCACTCCCCGTCCTGCCATCCCACCTGCTCCCCATGGCCCAGCCCCGCCTTCCCCTCCAGATGCCAGGTGGCTCCATCTCTTTGCCTTCTCTCCCCATCCCCCGCCCTAGACAATTTGGCCCCCTCCGCAGCACCAGCAGAGGCTCCAAACACCGTCTCTCTGACAAGGCCGGACGTCGGGGACAGTCCTGGGCTCCCGTCCTCTTCCACCCCAGCTCTGCCTCTCTTCCTGGGGGTCATGGCCGTTCCTCCCTTGCACCTTCCCCCAGCTTTTCCTCCCCCACCCCTCCCCACCCCCCACCCCTCGCCCAGCATCCCAGCCCAGGAGAGAGCTGCCTCCTCTCCTGCCCCAGCTCCAGGCTCCCTCCTGGGCACTGCCCCTGCCCCTCCTTCCGGCCCCCGCCGCTAGATGGCCTCCTCACTCTGCCTTCCGCTCAGGCTTGGCCGGTTTGGGAAATCCCCGCAGTCCCAGGTTGGGAGGCCTGGAAGCCGGGCAGCCTCCTGGGTTCACCCTCCCCTGATGGCGTCAGCAGTTTCTGCGTGCCCCTCACCTCCTCATCTTCTCTTCCCTTCCCCAGATTGGCACCCGCCTGGCCCTGCAGTGACGGAGCCCACCTGCGGCGCGTCTCCAGGCGCTGGCTCTATTTCTAGTCTCTGGGGTTGGCCTCCAATCTTCCATGTCCTCCTCCCCTTTGATTTTTCTTCCTTGTGGTAACTCCACGAAATCTCTTTCCATCCAGCCATCCAGTCTCTGCTTCTTTCTGGATTTTCCCGGTTTTGGCCAATGGAAGTTCTGCGCTCCAGGTCTCCTGTGATGGCAGCCAGCACCCTTTGAACTGGGGACGCGGCCCTGAACCCTTCTTTCCTGAATCCATAGTGCTTCCCCAGGGATGTGAGTCTCCAGCTTCCTGGAGGGCTCAGCCTCTGGATAGCCCCGGAAACCCGGCCACACCCTGCACAACCCCCTGACTGCGGCCTGGCTGCAGATGGATTGAGGCAATGTTCTTCTCTCCACGCAAAGCCCAGGAGATTTGGGTGGCTGCAGGGCCCTCTGGACTGCTCCATCCACATCCTCGTGGCACCAGCGCTGAGGGCAGGCCAGCTGGGAGGCAGCTGCCAAGACACACAGAGCCCCTGGGGACCATGGCCGGTGCCAGCTCTGCTGGGTGTCCACTGTGCAGCGTTTCTCAGCAGTACCGTGCAGCGGGCACCAGGCCACTCCCAGCTGCCCATGGACCCCATGACTGTGGGTGCAGCCCGGCTTCTTCCTGGCCTAGGCTTCTCTGTGAAGCAGGGGTGCAGGTGACACTTTGATTCCCGCCATCATGCCTGCCCCCCGCTGCGCACAAGCCCCGTGGAGCCCCGTGGAGCCCCGGCTGACATGCATGAGGGCTGCAGACTCCCAGAGATGAGGACACGGCAGTTTCTGGGGACGTCGGGAAGATCGCATGGCCAGCGGTGAGAACCAAAGCTGTGGTCCATCAAAGTAGACATCCTGAGGCAGGAATCTGCTCAGACGTGAACGTGCGGCCTGAACTATGCTGCTGTGTGACTTTGAGCTGATTTTCTCTCTTTAGAGCATTGCTGACTTTTGTTGAGTGGCTTCGTCTTCATGTTAAGCAATGGGTATTTCTTCTTGGTTCTAAATAATGCCACAGACCTGTGCCTCCGTACGGTCTCAGAGTGGCCTAGCACCACTGTCGGGGGGGCCTGAAGCTACATTTGGAGTTGGGAAGGGACACACAGTGTAGGCAGTGGCCTGTGCCCGGTGAGGTAGGGACTCCGAGTCCCCATGCTGTCCCTGCACCCCAGCCACCTAGAGATCCTTCCATGAGACCATCATTCCTTCCATCTTGGAACCTAGTTAAGACACAGACACCCTGGAAAGTTAAGGCATTAAACCCTCGTGCGTGTCAGAATCACCTGTGGAACTGAAAAAAGCCAGGAGGCAGTGCTGAGGCCTCACTCCTGAGCACTCAAATCAGGATTTCTGCTTTGCTGACTTCCCGGATGGGAATCCCCAAAACCCAGGGGCAAGCATGGGAAGGGGTGGTGTGTGTGCAGCTGTCAGCTCCAGGCCCCTGCTGCTCCCCACAGCCTCTAGACACTCCCCAGCCTCCTCCTGCACCCAGCCTCAACGCTCCATCCTGCTGTAAGCCTGTGTGCCTTGGGCCCCGAGTGCTTGGCTGGGAGTGGCATGGAGCTGTACACAGAGCTTCAGACAGCAGTAGTCAGACACCTATGGGGTGTGTGTGTGTGAGCGTCAGCTTCTCTCTGGAGAGCACGTGGAGGGGATCTGGTGAGGGGTGAATGTGGCCGAGCTACAGGCAGTGCCTGGAGGCTGGGGTGCCTTGGAGGAGTGAGGACAGAGTTGGGTGGGGGATGGGGGGGTGCTGCCCTGAGCAGCTTTTCCCAGAGCCTCAGAAGCTGGGATCAGCCCACTCCCACTGCAGGAGGG